ACTTCCTTGTGTGGCTCCTTTAGGCCAACGCATGATTCGATCATTCCCCCAATCAGCCACATAGACAGTGCCCAATTGATCGACAACGACTCCTTCAGGAGATGACAATTGTGTAAGATCATTTCCTTGTCCTTGACCACCAGCCACGACAATGCCTTGTTTTGCACCTTCCATCCATTTCATCACACGGTGATTGTTCCAATCAGATACGTACACTGAATGATCTCGATCGACGAATACGTATGTTGGGTAAGAGAGTTGATCGAGACGATTTCCACTTCCATTGCCACCTGCAACCACTGTTCCTTGAGATTCTCCTCTTCGATATCGTCTCACTTCAGCTTTTCCATCATCAGTGACATAGAGAGATCCATTCTCGTCCATTGTCAAACCCCAACAAGCGATGTTGGAGATGATTGTTTCTCCACTTGTTCCATTTCGACGAGGCCATCGAACCACTCTTCCATTCCAAGAATCGCATATGATCAGACGATCTCTCTCTTTGTCGATAATCACATCATATGGGTTATCCAATTGATGATCTCCACTTCCTTGTCCATTTCCACCGGCAACCACTTGGCCACTTGTTGCACCTCGTTTCCATTCCACAATACGATGATTCACTCGATCAGCAACATAGATTGTTTGATCATCATCAACATACAAACCCAATGGGTTTGAGAGTTGATTGATTCCATTGCCTTGTCGATTTTCTCCAGCTACAGTGATACCATTTTGTTGCCATCGAGCATTCGGATGAATGTTGGTGCTGGATGGAGAACGTAATGGATAATCTAAAATAGAGACAAGAAAAATTATTAAAATAAGAGAGAGAAAGTTTCTCTTCATAGAAATAGGATTTTGTTACAAGACGAGAATTCTTTTTGAGTCAAGTTCTCAACTTTGTTAACAACAATTATTGTTTTAACTCTTTTTTTGTTTACGTTTACGATGGTAGAGTTGTATGAGTAAGATGGAGACATTGAATGAGAAGCGTGGGTTTTCTTCTATGATTTTGCAACGAATTCATGTATAAAAATCATTTAATAATCAAATTAGTTTTTGGATATGTTACGGATCATCTCTTTCGTGGAAGCATGTCTTTTATTATATTGCTGATCTATGAAAGAGTCTCTCGAATTTTTGAAACATTATTCTATGAAATATATATGACCTATTTCTTGTTTTACTTTCATTTGCAATTATCTCATCAAATTGTAAATGCGAGAAACATGTAACGTTCCTCCATGTAAACTCGCTTTATTCTCGATTAAATATTCGGCTCTTTTGGTATGTTATACTTCTTTACAGCTCTCAACAAAGCTATTATCCAACATTTGAAAAAGTATGTGTGTGGATGCTGATACTTATGTCAGTCTCCTGGTGCATGATGGTATGCCTGTCTGTGTGAGGATTTTTGTCATAAATTCGTCTCATCAAACTGATACCTACACATCGATACTCAACAAGGAATCTAAATGAACTATACACACTAGAACTAAAACAGATTATATTTACAATTTACTGAAAGGATCACGAAGCAAGGAGGGTAATCGACTGATTTAAATCAGCTAAACACTCAAAATTAAATTCGTTAAATCATCTTAACTTATTTTAAATCAGCTTTTAACTCATTGTAACTCAGCATAAATCATTTTAAATCAGGATAGCTTTAAAAAATTCTTACAGTCGAAAAAATATACTCAAACTTGATATTTTTGTTCAATCACTATTTATGGTTTTTTTTCTTTGAAATTATTTAATTAAAATCAAGAAATTTATATTCGCACGCAGTCATTAAATATTTTTTTTATATCTTATAGCGTAGAATATATTTCGCTCTGTTCTACTAATATATATATATAGAAAACATGTGATACAATTGACAATAAAAATATTCTAACGAATGAATGCTTTTTTTCATTCTTATATAACTAGACTATACGTAGAATAAAAAAAACAGACAAAAGAGAAAATTCAATCCACCTCGTGTATCTACACTGAAATGAAGCGATCCACAATTTATATTATTTTTTTAATCTGTTCTCGTTCTTTAGATCGATTAT